CGTTTCAGCACCAGCAGGTGTGGTTGTCAGCTGCTTCTTCTTCTTTGTTCTTGGCCGCATCTTGAGTCGTATTGGATCCCATACCATCTCCTCCTCCTCCTCATCATCATCATCACCACCATCATCATGAGCTGTAGCAGCAGCAGTGGTGCTGGCGGTGATTGCCGATATGGGCGATGACGTGTTTGGGCTGCGCATGTTTGCACGCCCTGGCGTCGAGGCAGCAGCGATGGCGGGCGATTGCGACGCGCTCAAAAACTGCACGTCAACACACACACACACACACACATGCGGGCGCATTTGCGTTGGGGGATGGGGCGGGGGTTGGGTTGTGTGAGCACACATATGTGTGTGCGTGTATGTTTTTGTTTGTGCATGTGCGTAAGCGTGTGATGTTGCGCATGCCAGTCACCATCAATCAACAGAGCAGCAAACTTCAACCACTACAAGCGTGTTTGTTACCTTGTCGAGTGTCTGCGACTTTGCATCTGTGCGTATGAGGTCGTGATCGTAAACGCGCGCGCCATCATCGCGCACGCCGCGCCGGCCTAGATGATGATGAAGGTGGTGGTGGTGGTGGTGGTGGTGGTGGTGGTGAAGTGAGAAAGGCGATGAACATGCACAAACGGCTAAGACGTCCAACATGCACACACGGCTATGACGTGACTTGTTAAAGCAAACACACACACACACACACACACACACACACACACACCGGATGCTGCTGATGCTGGTGGTGCAGCGGTCGATGCGCGAGCAGCGCGTGTCTGTGCGGACTCTGTGCGAGCATCCACGTCGTCTCTACCATCGCCATCACCGCTGGCACGCGCTGTTGCCGTTGCTGATGACGATGATGATGAGGAGTTGAGGAAATCACGAGGGCCGCTGGCGCCAGGCAGCAGCATCTGCACGTGGTTGGCGTGTGTGTGTGTGTGTGTGTGTGTGTGTGTGTGTGTGTGTGTGTGTGTGTGTGTGTGTGTGTGTTCCAATGGCAGAAAAACCAATGAACATGCATGCATACTTCACCGCTGTGAGGAAGCAGGTGCACGTCCAACCTGTGTTTGAAACGTTCGCGACATGTTTCCGCCGACAAGACGCTTGCTCACGAGCTGCTGCAGCCGCTCCACAATGTCCTCCTGCAAACGCGCACACACACATGCGATACGCGCACACACAGTGGGTGGACGCAACAGCAGTGGTGAGACGAGCACCCAAATGCCATCAAGCACTGCTCGTGCAGGGGAACAATACAAGAAAGCGATGTCAAACACGCCACGACAGACAGAAATACACAGGCAAACACCACCACCACCACCTCCTCCACAAGACACGGTGCGTGCTGCACTGCAGTGTGCGTTGGAAGTTACTGTGTTACCTCGTGAAGGAAGTGGACTTCCTTCTTCGTCGGATGCACGTTTACATCGACGTGCTCGGGCTTAATCTCCAAACTGATGTATGCAAAGCAGTGGGTGTGACGCGGCAGGTAGGCGGCGTACACCGAGTCCAGCGCCTTGCGGATGTTGGTTGAGTGCACGGCACGGTGGTTGATGAACAGCAGCAGCGTCGGCTTCTTCACGCTGTAATTCGCGTTGGTGATGAAGCCGCGAACTTTGAACGCCAACTCCTCGTCAGCGTCCTCAATCTGCCAGTTTCAGTGCGGTGTGTGTGTGTGTGTGTGTGTGTGTGTGTGTGTGTGTGTGTGTGTGTGTGTGTGTGTGTGTGTGTGTGTGTGTGTGTGTGTGTGGAGGTGAAGGGGAGAGAGAAAAGGTGACAACGCGAGCAAATGTGAGCAAAGGAGACAAAGTGCACACACACACACACACACACAGACATGATATGCAGTGGCGCAGTTGACGCTTGAGTGCATCCGCTGTCGCACCTCGAGCAGCTCGTTGGCAACCTTCGACCCGTAAATTGCAGCAATGTTGTCCCGCTGCACGCACACACATGCACACATGCACACACATGGGGATTGTGAGGAAACAAGTCATGGAGTTCGCTTGCGGCATGTGCAGCACAAGGCGTGTGTGTGAATGCGAGCACATGAGCATGTGAATTGGTTGGCCAATTTCACCGTTGTTGCGCCTGGTGTAGTTCTGAGCAGAGGGCTGGTTTCTCCATGCTTCTTGAGTGACACCCCAACACCAGAGTTGTGCACAGCATACCTGCACAGCCCGCGACACCCGACATCGTGTCAGCGGGCAGACAGCAGGCACAGCCAGCTCCCACACTCACACATAAATGCACTCCATGTGCTCTCACCCACACTCACTCACCCACTCACAGCGACACAGACACACACACACGTTCACAAACACATACACAGACACACACACGTTCACAAACACATTCACACGTTCACAAACACATTCACACACACGAGTTTGAAGCCAGCGCTGGAACGGACCTCGACATGATGTCCATGATGCGGTTGAGCTCATCAGAAGGGCTTTTGAGGGCCCGGCGGCGCGTCGGAACATTGAAAAACAGATCTTCCACCTGCACACACACATGAACACACATACACACAAACACACAGACACACACGTGAGCACACACGTTGGTACACACAAGTGAACACATAGGTTGGTACACACGTGAAGCTCATTCTTGCAGCCGCGCGTATGCATGCGTTCAATCTCTCGCCACACACACATATATACACACACACAAATGAACACACACGTGAACACACACACACACACACACACGCACACGCGCGCCATGCTAACCCTGGCGCCCCACCGTAATCTGTGTGCCCTGGTTGCCGGCGCATGGCTTTGGGTCGCTGGGTTTGCCTGGTTTGGGTGGCGTGAGCTTGCCATCGCGATAGTGCGCCCTGGAAGAAAGAAGCAGAGAGGCACGGGAGAGAGGGAGGTGTGTGTGTGTAGAGGGAGCACTGAGCCACGGCTGCACAAGCATCCACACGCATGTCCACTCAATCACACACACACACTCTCTCTCTCACACACACACTCTCTCACACACACACTCACACACACACACATACTCTCTCTCTCTCACACACACACACACTCTCTCTCACACACACACACGCACGCACAAGCACCAACTTGTAAGCGCATGGGGAGTCCTTTGTGCGAGAGATGATGCTGAGATGAGCGACATGGGAGATACTGGCCAGGGCTTCGCCACGAAACCCGTGGGTGGCAATCGTTGTCAAGTCTTCAAACTTGGTCAACTTGCTCGTTGTAAACCGCTCGCACACAATATCCATGTCCTTTCGCTGCAAGCCGGCATCGACAACCACCACCCATCGACACAGAACCCCACACATGCATCACAACACGTCACAAGCAGAGTGTAAGAACAGGAGCGTGGTATGAGTGCACACGGTGATGTGCTCATCCTTCCATACTGCTCTCCACCCATACCTTCCAACCCATCACGCAAGCACACAAGCACACGAGCACACGAGCACACGAGCATACAAGCCCAAGCACGCTCTCGCCCTCCCCCGTGTCACTCTTCAAAGTCGGTACGTTGATGCCGTGCCCATCATCCTGAATCTGAAGCATCTTCAAGCCGCCACTCTTGACCACGACAGAGATGCTGGAGGCCCCGGCATCCAAAGCGTTCTCAAACATCTCCTTGATGGCATTGGCAGGCCGCTGGATCACCTGTAATAGCGAGGTGCACACGACGCATCTCATGCACCCGCATGAGACCAAAAGTGGCGCGGCTTGGGCCCCACCAAAGCGGCGCTAGCCATACACATGCACACACACACGCACACACACATGCACACATGCACACACTCACACACACACAAACACATAAACACATGAGCTCGCACAAACATGAGCACAACACTGCACCTCGCCAGCAGCGATGCGGTTCACAACATCCTCTTCCAGCCGCACGATGCGCTTGGTCGTCGCCATCGTCTCTCCCCATCCACACCACCAGCAGTGTTGTCGTGGTTGCCGCGGTGTGTTTGAGTGTGTATCAGCGCGCCAACAGTGCGGATTAATAACGAAAGATACGCCCAGTCTTCCACAATCGCGCCGTTTTTTTCTCCTTGTTGGTGCTTGTTGTTGCTTGGCATGGAGGCTGTCGGGGGTGTGCTGCGCGAGGTGGCTGGGGAAACAGTGCAGCTGGCCAAGCAGGTTTGCTCGTTGTCTATGTGTGTGCATGTGGGTATGGGTGCGTGCACTTGTGTATGTGCACTTGTGTATGTGCACTTGTGTATGTGCACTTGTGTATGCATATGTACCTTTGTGTGTGTGTGTGTGTGTGTGTTCATGCTTCTGTGTCCCGCTCGTGTTTTGCCCCGCTCTGTTGGTTTGCTTGTGTTCATGCCAACGGCTCCGCTGCAATGGGGTGAATAGGCCATCGACAAGGCGGAAGGGGCAATCGGAGCAGCGTCAACAACACAACAACACACGTTTCAAGGCTCTCCCTTCAACACTGAGGGGGCTGACAACAGCAGTGGTGACAGCAGTGGCGAGGGATCGCCCCAGAGGCCACCGCAACCCGATAAACGCCCATCGCACCCGACCCACCTCCGCCGTCGCGTGCCAATTGCGAACGTGAGAAGGGCTCGTGCTCGACCATCCCAGATGGATCGGGCGCCGTTCAAGCCTACGCCCTCACACCAACACGCGATGGAAGACTCTTCATCAAGCGAAGCAGACACGGTTGCCCGCGAGGTACGCCAAAACAGACAACGCCTCTCTGATCTTCTGTGCTTTTGTGTGTGTATGTGTGTGTGTGTGCATGTGTGTATGTGTGTCTTTGTGTGAATTGACACTGACACGGGCACAACACTAACTTCTTGAGTGATGCGCTTACTCACTGAACACCGCTGGCTTGTACCCCCAACAAACCGCCGTTACAAACACACACACATACACGTGTGGGCTGCAGGCTGCGCGATGTCGTGGAGAGAACCGGGGCTTGCGGGCTCAATTGCGGGTGCTGCGCAGCCAATGCATGGGCTCTGACCACATGTCTGCAACCCTGCTGGAACGCTACCA